GAACCCAGGGTGCTCTACTAGTGAGCTATAACCCCCAGACTTTTTTTTTTTTTTTAGAAAGGGGCTTGCCAAGTTGCTCAGAAGAGCTTTGAACTTGCAATCCTCCTGCCTCATCCTACCTTACCTGAGATTATAGGTTTGCATCACTGCTCCCAACTGAGTTCTGAATATCTTAAAGGAGGGCATCTAATGGTATTTGAAAGGACCTTAGGAAATTATGTGGTCTGAGGGCTCAATTCAAGGAAGGCTAATAGAAGAGTTCATAAAAATAATGATAAAGTAAGAAGTGTGTATGTTTTTATTAGGAAAATTTAAAAGTTCATATACATGACAACATAATGTGTTTATACTATGCAACTTACATTTGTTCACTCAACGTTGTCTTTGGGTTCTATGTTGATGATAATCTAGTTCATTTGTTTTAACTGCTGTGAAATAATAAATACATCACTGTTCTCATACTGGACATATAAGTTGTCTCCAATTTTAGTCTATTATAAATAAAGCTATTTATTATACATTGCATATGTACTATATGTTTGGTTTCTAGCTACATTTGCAAAGCTCTTAATTTTGCTGGCTTTTACTTTCCTTCTGTGCTTCAGGAGTTGACTCATCTGGCTATGGAAAGTGAAGCAGAGTTAAAACCTAAGCCCTTCTCCAGCAAAAGCCTCTTGGAATTAGAGCAACATCATGCAACGCTTGTGGAAAGCCAGGAACGGAAGCTGCTAGTGCTGCAGCTGCTGGCTGTTCTGTGTGAGAGAATATCTGAGCAGATATTCACAAACATCACTCAGGTTAGTGGCTGCCACATTTTAGATCCAGTCTGATGGTATTAGTCTGTTTTGGTTTCTTTACATTCTTTCCAAAAAATGCCCAGAAATGTTGCTCAGAGTGTCATTTGATGACACCTGTGTTAGCATTTCCTGGAATTCTGGTTAAACATGCAAATACTGAGCCCACACTAGGCCAACTGAATCTAAAACTTTCTTAGGTCCTAGGAATCCACCTGTTTAACAAGCTTCTGAGGTGATTCTCATGCACATAAAACTTTGAGAACTATTTTAGATGTTGATATGTTACATCACAATGGTTTTCAACTTTGAGTACAAATAAAGTTGTCTGAAATCTTTTTCAAAATATTGATACTAGCCACCTTTTAGATATTTTGATTTAGCACATCTGCATGAGAGCCTGGGCATTTTTACTTTTTAAAGCTTCATGTGTATCAGAAGTTGAAAATGATTAAAAAGTCAAATCTGAGGGCTGGGGTTGTAGCTTAGTTGTAGAGTGCTTGCCTAGCACATGTGAGGCACTGGATTCAATCCTCAGCACCACATAAAAGTAAATAAATAAAATAAAGGTATTGTGTCCATCTACAACTAAAAAATATTTTTAAAAAAACAAACTCAAATTTGAAAAAATAAATCACTAATATGATCACTTTAAATTCCATATGTACTTTAGCTGACAACTTATCTCCACAACACCCTGTGAAATTTTAAGATGTTTTTAAAAAAAATGCTTTCAGGGCAGTTGTACTTTTATTTATGAGTCAGTGTCTGAATTTTATTGGCTTAGACATTATTTTTTACTACCTTTTTAAAAAATAGGAAATAAAAGTAATATGGCCTAGGCAATGCAGTCACCATCTTTAACCACTTTACAAGAATTGTTCTTTGGTTGGTGAATAGTCATTTGTAAGACGGTATGATTGTAATGCTTAAATCTGATTCTCCAGCTCTTTATATGGCTGTCATTGTCATCTGCTTCTGGTGTTGCTAAGCAGCATTTTGCTATAGCTCCTGCTGAGAAAATTTTCAGCTGCCTGTCAGCTCTGACCTATCTTGCCTGTTTAATGAAAATTATGTTCATGATTTCTTTCCTGGCCTCTTATTCCTTTAGTTCACTGACCCCATGTTACTCAATAGGGTGATTTGTTTCTCCTATGTTTATATCTCTTCCCTGGAGACTCTTTCATCTAGACCTTGTGTTTTTGTTTCAGGATACTAGTTGGAAGGGGAAATGGCCCAAAAACTGATATGACTTGAGCTTTTGCACTTATCTGCCTTTACTCTTAATTAAGGAACAATGGTGTTGGACTAGTATAAAAATTATTTGTCCCAAGAGAGTATCCTTTAGCTAAGGTAAATGTGTATTAGAACAAAAAGACCACAAGGAAATATTAAATTGAATTTAGTAATCTTACTGCTACTGATAATATTGGTATGTTATTTTGAAACACAGATGGATAAAGAAAATAAGTTCTAAGTAACCACTGATATTGTTAGAAATCAAGATTTTTAGCATAAGAAAAAATATAAATATGAAATCAAAGAACTAGGCAAAAAATCTTAGTTAGAAATATGAACCCATGATTAATTTTTTCTCTTTTTAAAAAAAATATGTATTTCCTAGCATGGCCTACTGTCAATGCCAAGAAGCAATGACAACCTAGTAGCAATAAGCATTCTTAGTGCCAGATTATTGTTATGAAATACCATTTTCTTTTGAGCTCTATCATTGAGTATAACCCCAGCCCTTTTCTTCTTCTTTTGTTTTTTTGAGATGGGATATCACTAGGTTGCTGAGGCTGACCTTGAATTTGTAATCCTCCTGCCTCAGCCTCCTGAGTCTCTTGGATTACAAGTATGTGCCACTATACCTGACTTGAAATACCATTTTCTAAAAGAACTCAAAACCTGCTTGGTTGTTTGTTTTGAAAACAGCATCTTGTTGTATTGTCCAAGTGGGCTTTGAACTTGTGATCCTCCTGTCTAGCCTCCCGAGTAGCTGAGATAAAGATTTGTGCCACTGTGCCTGGCTCACTTGAAGTGCTTTGGAATAAAGGTTGATTTGAGGTCTGGATTATAGTCTGGGGTAGGAGTAATACATTGTAAGTTTCAAGGCATTTTGTTGTGCCCAAATGCAAGGAAGCTATCAGATTGATGGGGTTATGTCAGTACATTCATGAGCTAACTTGAAAGGTTTCCCATTGGTCATAGAGAGGACAATTGTAATATAAAAAAATAATAATGTCTTCAATAAATTAAGGCACATCAAAGATATGAAAATATAAGCAAAAACCCCTATAGCACATCTTTGAAGATTGTTAGAACACTGACTATTTATTTTGCAAATTGATAAAGAGAAAGAATAAAGTACTTATGTTGCCTTTCCAAAAGAATTAATTTTCAGTAGTAATCAAATAATCAGTAAAGGAAAACTTATCTTTATAGGATAATCACAGTCAAGAAATTCAAAGTGAGGACTAGAAAATTACATTTTTCAACCCTCTGGGGGAGATAATGGACCTAGGTAACAATCATAAATTTCTGCCGAAATTGTTAGATGAACTATCAGTGGTATACTGAATAATGAATATATGAAGCCCAAAGAGCAACTGAAAATCCCCCCAACATATTATTATGAAAATTTTCAAATTTGAATGAATTTTTGCAATTATTTTATTCTTAACATGAATTAATTATATCATATTAATGAGGAATATTTGTTTATTGAAAGAATTTTACAGTGAATACTTATACACCCACTACCTACCAAGATATTACTATTAGTGTTTTATTATACTTGCTTTATCACATAGTTATCCATTTGTGTATCCCTATACCCATCTTATTTTTGGTTACATTTCAGTGTTAATGCAGATATCAACATAAATCCCTCTAAATATTTCAGCCTGGCATGGCTGATTGCCCATCATCATAGGTGGACAAGTGAATCATACATACTTCCTCATGTAATGCATTAGGAAGTATGTGGCACCACTTGGGAAGGATGCTTACCCCAAAATAAAAAATCTGAAACTTAAACCAGAATCTAACCAAGAAAATACAGGGCCTGGAGGATCCAGGGAAGCACTGCCACAAGGAAGTAATTGGCCAGCTCCAGAATGTGGAAAATTCTACAATAGGGTGGATCAGTTTCTTCATCAAATAATGGCTTTAGGGCTAGGGTTGTGGCTCAGTGATAGAGTGCTCGCCTAGCATATCTGAAGAACTGGGTTCAAATCTCACCACCACATAAAAATGAAAGAAATTGTGATCACCTACAACTAAAAAATAAATATAAAAAAATTAAAATGAATGCTTTAAAAAAGAGCAAGATCCTGATTCAAACAAATTAATTATAAGAGGTTGTTTTTTTTTGTTTTGTTTTGTTTTTTTGTACCAGGGATTGAATTCAGGGACACTCAACCCCTGAACCATATCCATCAGCCTTATTTTTTTAAATATCTTTATTTATTTATTTTTTAATGCTCTACACTGATCTATAGTCCCAGCCCAGCTCTGTTTCATATTTTATTTAGAGACAGGGTCTCACTGAATTGCTTAGCACCTCACTTTAGCTGTAAGAGGTCATTTTATACCAATTATGGACCAGTTATCAGGAGATATTAAGGAATTCTTACTGAGTATAATCATGGTATGATAGTTACATAAAATACAAATCTCCTTATCTGTTAGAAATGCATGTTAAAGAGATGTATGGGTAAAAGATTAAATATTCAATAGAGTATGCTAGAAGATGAGACATTGTATATATGAGGTACAGAAAAGAATGTGGGATGCTGTGATCTCTGTACTAATGAGTTCTTTCATTCCACGGCTACATATTGAGAGCCACATACTCTTCTAGGTACCAAGTTCACAGCATGAACAAAACATACATGTGTCTGTGCTCTCATGGAGCTGATATTCACATGGTGGAGAGATACAATAAATTAGAAGGCAAAAATACATAGTGTGTTGGATGATGGTAATTTCTAGAGAGAAAAACAATCCAAAAAAAGAGGAATGTTAAGAGGGTGTCATGGAGAGCCACACTGTGGAAGTACCTTTTTAGCAAAAACCCAAAGGTGGGGAAAAAGGGGGTTGTTGAGATCCATAGTGTAACAGTTGTTTCATGTAGAGGGAGCATGGCCAAAATGTAGTAGGTCAGCAAGAAGGCCAGTGTCATTGTTGTGGACTGAGCAAGATTCCCTTTTTTCTGTCCTTTCAGAAAAATGCCAGCACTTTCTCCTCGCTATAACGGCATCACTACAATTAGCAGAGTAGAAGTGCTTCTATGTGGCTTTTTCTTTTT